AGAGTTTCCAGTCTCTGACACCATCTTAGAATACAGAAATTCAAAGCAGAAATTAAAGAAGCAGAAACAAAAGCAGAAGAAATGTCCAGATCTGTCCAGGCGGCTCCTGACGCTGGAAATCGAATGGATCCTGGAATCTGCCAGGAGGCGGGGTCCTGGTTCAAGGAATCACCCTGCCACCATGAGGCCTGCGCCAAGCCAACCAATGCCACCACTGCTGCCTCTCCACCACCTGAGCTGGATCCTCAATGTCAGTGGCAACATCCATTGCCGATTGTTGGAAAAACCCATCTGGTTCACAAATGTCCTTTAGGGAAGGAAACTGCCATCCTTACCTGGTCTGGCCTACATGTGACTCCAGACCCACAGCAATATGGTTGACTCTTAACTGCCCTCTGGGCAATTAGGGATGGGCAATAAATGCTGCCTGGCCAGCGACATCCTCATCCTGGGAATGAATAAAGGATCTCTGGCTGCTGGAGCCACACTCAACATCGTTGCCATGAGACCACACTGGGGGTCCACCTCACCGAGACTGCCTCCGCCGATGCAGCCACTGCCGTCAATGAAAAGGTAAAAACGAGAAATAAGAAGAAAGGCAGATGGAAGAAAGGAGCAGACGAGCCCCGGGCTCAGGAGCCCGAATGCTGCCTGCTGTGGTGGGTCTGAAGAACAGGGAAATGGTGAAAGGAATGATATGGAAAGAAAAACACCACAATACAAACATTTGTCCCATTTTAGAGGCTGTTTGCAAAACATCCGGATTGCATTATTTCACTGTTAAAGTGTTAAAGATGAAAGAAGGTACCTTCGGGTGATCTGAGGGAATGGCTGCCATCTTGGTAACCCCTTTATTATGGCACCAACCATTACTGTTGGCTGGGGCACAAGTAAAACGTAACTTTGCCATAGTCCTACTGGATCATAGGGCTGCTCTCCCTCGTTAAAGAGAGATGACTGGTGGTGGTTTAACCTGAGGGTTACCATTGCTCAGGTGAAGGGACAGATTGAAAAGGAGAGTCCTTCACGGTAATCTCAGCTGGTGTGGGAATTGAATCCTCACTTTTGGCGTCACTCTGTATTGCAAACCAGTCGTCCAGCCCACTGAACTAACCGGCTCCCAAACCAGCCACACTCCGAGCAATCTGAAGACAATGCACTCACGTGCCAAGTTGGCGTCAAACCAGTTACACAGATGTGTAGTTAGTAGTCTCAAGGAAACTTATAGCCAACTTCCAGAGGACAGGCAGTGCGGCTAGCATGGAACGTACATACCCCACTCTCCTCCAGCATACCACAGTTACTTTGCTGGACAATGAGTTCTTTTCACAGACTTGTACAGCATGGCAGAGATGGGGACATTGAGGTGCCAAGCCAACTGTTGGACTCACACTGGCAGTTGTGGCAAGTATCAGATGGTATGGTAAAGAGTTTTAGATTTTGGCTGAAAATGGAGATTGTCTTCTTCCAGCCACTGTGGTGCTTGCTCAGATCATATCTGTACACTGCGTTTAGCTCTGGAGACTGTGCTAACCCCCAGTGAAGCTACCTCTGAGTCAAAGGGAATCAATGAAACTAACTCTGATGAAGGGTCCAACTGCATCTAGGCCACCTGTTGAAGAAACAAGACAGATGGACAGACTAAATAGCCAGGGGCTTTCAATGAATTGTTCACAGTCTGCTCTCCCTCAGATCATTGGGTCATAGCTGCAGAGCAGGCCTATCAACGACCTCCAAGCTCTTTATCAAGCAATCTACACAATTCCATTCCTCTGCTCTATCCTCAAAGCCCTCAAGTTCATATACCTCAAATGCTCATGCTGGGCACAAGCTCTAGTTGTGGCCTAATCATTTTTATACAGATTTCAGTATACCTTCTTAGCCTTTGTACTCAATTCCTTTATTTATGAAGTCCAAAGCCCTACATACTTTGCTAACTACTCTTTCAAGATATTTTGCTATCTTTAGGGTTCTGTGCAGACAGGGTGTTTTGTCCCTCTGACCCTACATGTTCTGTGCCATTAGACTTATTCTGCCTCTGCCTTCCCTCTGGCAAAATGTATCAGGAATTGAAAACCTCATGCCCTGCAGAGACTGGCAATGGTGTGATGGCAACAGTGTGTTGGGCCCTCACTTAGGATGTCAGAGCATTATCATCTTTGCCATCCCATCAACCAATACTGAGCATGGTGCCAACGAACAAGTGGCAGCAGCCTGAAATTGCCACACTGACCTTTCTTTGAAAAGCTTTGCACTGGGAGCTCAGTATTTGTGTTAAATTGGGCCTGAACCTGATGATTAAATTGGTAAGTTACAGACTGTCCTCATATGTTCCATGCAGGGACGATGGAAAATCTGATTCAAGTGTGGTAGAAGCCAGAAAGCCATCGCTCATTCTGTTTCTGGTAATCTTTTTACAGTGAAAAATGAAACATTTCAACTAATATGATAATGATTTCTGCAAACAGGAAAATCCACTTCTGCATGCATTATTTATAGTCATGCTGCAACTGTTAATTAAAATATTTCATTTCACAGCCCAATTTCACATATTAGCATTCACAGCCCCATTTGTTAATAGATGTTCATTAAGTCTCTCAGCACATCCAGTCACACAGACATTAGAAAAACAATTTCCATTCCCAAAGTAATTCAGAAAGTTTGATCAGATCCTTCACTTTAGTGATCACTAAATGCAGTACAACAGAAAATGAATACCTTGTGAAGGTGCAGCCACTTTCACCAGAATCAGAAATCTGATAAAGAACAGAAAGATTCTCACCCTAGGAGTCTAATCCAGTTGCTTTTCAATGAAGTAATTGACCCTCACACACCTATACATCCCAACATCATTTACACTGCAGCCCATCTGGTCACTTGATTTAGATCATGTAACAACCCTCTTTATTTTGTCTTGCATTCTTCCCAAGATTCTATCCTCATACCACACTAACTCCCTGAGTGTTACCCAAGCCTCTACCACTCTGCACCTCTCTCAATGACTCCTACCTTCATTATTTCGTTATCTAACTCTAACCTACCCCATGCTTATTTTACTTTGTTCTTTGGGAAATTACAATTTAAGACAGCTCTTCCAGCATTTGCCTTTTTTTTGTCTTAATTCATTCCTATTAACCCTTATGCAATATCACCAATTCAGAGACATCATTAAAGATGCTCTTTGATATAATAAACAGCACCCTTCTTCTTTCTATCCTTTTCCTTCTTGCCCTGGTTTGTGTTCTAAATATTGGAGCTGTCAAATACAATCGTTGGTCATGCAGAAAGTTGCCACATACTCAACCAATTGAAATCAATTGTATTATGTATGCATGGTATTCCAAATTCCTTCACCTACCCAAGACTCAACTGTAGCTCGAGCTACACCTCCAGCATTATGGATGCTTCATGTATCGCCACATCATTGTGTTACTTGATATGAAGGATTTTCTATACTTTTAACATGTTGGTTAGTATCATGTACAGTACATTGTTATATACACAGTCCAGTTGCAATTCTGCCAATAATGCTACTAAAATGAAACAATTATATAATCTGAGGTCTCCTTGCTAAGTCGTCCATCCCAGTAGAAATTTTTATTTCAAAAGAAAACCTGGCATTTAATTATAATACTCAGAATATTTCATCCTGAAGTTGGTCATAAATTTCCAACTCCCTCCATAATTAGATCAAGCAAATTAATGTCAGCAAGAGACAACAATATGCTGAACATTGCAGAAGCAGTTTCAGAGCGTCTCAGACAGACTCTCATTGTGTGATGTGTCTGTCTAACTCACTCGCCACACCAGAGTTTCTTCCCCGTTCGCCTGCAGCCAAAGGGTCGTATACAGAACATTAAGAACGATGAGCTGGAATGATGCCATGCTCAAGCTCTTTATGTGTTATTTCCCAGATGTGAATTGGTGGCTGTTAACTTCCACTGAAACGTTTTATGCAAAATCGTGCTGACTGGGTAACAAGCATGGCCTATTTATGAATTCTGCAGCAGGATGCTACACTGCAATAAATCAGCTGTACAAAACTCTGGTGTGGCCGTACTTGGAGTATTGCATACAGTTCTGGTCGCCGCATTATAGGAAGGATGTGGAAGCATTGGAAAGGGTGCAGAGGAGATTTACCAGGATGTTGCCTGGTATGCAGGGAAGGTCTTATGAGGAAAGGCTGAGGGACTTGAGGCTGTTTTCATTAGAGAGAAGAAGGTTAAAAGGTGACTTAATAGAGACATACAAGATGATCAGAGGATTAGATAGGGTGGACAGGAAGAGCCTTTTTCCTCGGATGGTGATGGCTAGCACGAGGGGACATAGCTTTAAATTGAGGGGTGATAGATATAGGACCAATGTCAGAGGTAGGTTCTTTACTCAGAGAGTAGTAAGGGCGTGGAATGCCCTGCCTGCAACAGTAGTAGACTCGCCAACTTTAAGGGCATTTAAATGGTCATTGGATAAACATATGGATGATAATGGAATAGTGTAGGTTAGATGGGCTTCAGATTGGTTTCACAGGTTGGCGCAACATCGAGGGCCGAAGGGCCTGTACTGCGCTGTAATGTTCTATGTTCTATGTCACATAGCAAAAACAGGGAGCAGGTCAAACACCCTGTCAGGTCTGTTCCACCATTCACACTTGATCTCTACCTTGATCCACTTCCCCAGCTCATTTCTTTATTTCATAATTCCTCTTGTGCTCCAAAATCCATCAATCTGTTTTGAACATACTGCTCGAATTCCAAAGATTCATAACTCTGAGACAAGAAATTTCTCCTTATCTCAGCTCTAAGTGCTCGATCTTTTATCCCAATATTACAACCAGGGAAAAAAGCCTCTTAGTACCTACTCTGTTAAGTCCTCTCAGAATCTTTTTTTAAAATGTAACCTCTTTTTCTAATCAACCTGTTTTATTATATACCTCTGGAGCAGAGAGCAGGTGGCGGTGGCGGGGTGGGGGGCGGTGCTTGAACTTGGACTTACTGATCCAGAGGCAGGAACACTACCATTATGCCAAAGTGGTCCTCCTGTGCACGGGCCATGCTAGTCTTCTCTGTATTGTTCCAATTTTAGGCTATGTGCTGCCAAAGTGAGCACTTACACACTTCAGTCAGATCCCCTTTTCATCTCAGGGACTCTGGCGTTTTTCCTGTTTCTTGGTCCCTTATACATACCCAGCCCCACTTCCTTCGGGTTCCTAGAATCTGGAACCACAGTCATCGTGGCTTTGAACTGTTTTATATATGTTTAGCAAAACCTCTTAGTTCTTGTTTTCTATTTCTCTATTTACATGGTCCATCAACAGCTCAGGTCTCAGAACGACACAGCCACAGCTTAGTCATTCATATTATGAATCTCTTCTTCTTTGAACCTGGCCTTATACAATATCAGAACAGCACCATTTAAACGGCTTGAACATACGTACTACTAATAACTATTTCATGTACAAATGAGAATATCTCAAACTAAGAGCGATGCAAGGCTGAATCTTACATTTTGGCAAAGATCGGGTTGTGGATGATATTGTTGATTTGCTTGCCGAACTGGCTTGTTTTTGTTGAATCGTACATTTTTGGTTAAACGCATTGAGGTTTTTTGGAAGATTTGATGGGGCAGAAAGGGTCAAAGCAGGTTATGGGCTACATGGTAGTTGGCTCCTCATTCTTTATGTGGAGATCATCCTGACTCTGTCCACCCTGTGGGCCTGACTGACTGTGGTCACGCCCCTGTATTGTATTAGATGCTGTTCTTGCCTGACTGTTGTCTGATGCTACTAAGACTTTTAGAGGTGCATTTTATCCAGGTTTTTGTATGAAGAGAGGTTCAGGCAGAGGTGACGAGTGGTCTGCTGCAAGCCAATAAATAGCTTGTGAGGCCTTGAAGTTTTTTTTTGAAGTTGGAACAATAGAAGCAGCCTGAATGGGTGGGGTCAAGCTCCCACAGAACCAGGATTTTAGTTTTAGCTTTCAGTAACTGTTGGAGTCTTAAGGTTGTATGTGGAAGTTCTTATTCCTCTCTCTGTTACAGCTAAAAGCTGGGGTTCTCTTCCTGCTGCTAGAATTACATGTGAGGCAATCTATTTTACTGAATTTGCCTTTGCCAAAGGTTTATGGGATGTTACTATATTAGAACAGTTAATAAGTAGATTATTAATTTGTTAACTATTTCAATAGAGTTGCAGTGAAGCAATTCTTTGGTTTTGATTTTGTCTATATTTTAACTAATAGCTTGATGTTAAACTAAAAAGTAGAACCACCAAGGCTTTAATGTCAGGATTACCCCATGAGCCACGTGCAAATTGGCGCAGAGTAAATAAGACTGGAGAGGTAAATGCACACCACCAAATTAGGTGTGGGAGAAATGGGTTTCCATTCATGGGCCACTGGCACCAGTACAGGGAAAAGAACTGTTCCACTGGGATGGGCTTCATTTGAACCAGGCTGGAACCAGTTCCTGGTAAATGGTATAACTAGGGCTGTAGATAGGGCTTCAAACTCATTTGTGAAGCGGGGGAGGTCTCCACTGAAGCAAAGTTTAAAAGATCAAAAATAAACAAGAAGCAGAGGTATGAGCTAGTGAAGAGGCAAACAAAATTTGACAAGTAGAAAATAGAAAATGAACCACACATCAGAAATCAGAACCAGAATAAGTAATAATAATTAAAAGTCAAAGCTTAAGGCTCTTTATCTGAATGCACACAGAATTTGTAACTAAACAGATGAGTTAACAGCACAATTAGAAATAAATAAATATGGCTTGATAGCTATTATAGAGACATGGTTACGGGGTGATCCATGACTAGGAACTCATTATTCATGGGTATTCAACATTCCAGAAGAACAGGAAAAAAGGAAAAGGAGGTGGGGTGGCTTTGTTAATAACGGATGGTGTAAAAGGAATAGTAGGGGAAAGAAGTCACAGATCGAAGTGGTTTATAGGTCCCTTAAGAGTTGCCTCACTCCACCAATGCTGTCAATGTTTTTAAGAGAGAGGTGGGCACCGCGGGACAACACAGTGCTTTACTTCTCCCTCCAACTCCATTTCGACTTAGCCCCTTCCACTCTCCCTATCCTTCTCTCACCTCTGATAGTGTACATTGCAAGTAATGGCCTTTGTAATTAAATGTCTGATTGGCTACACGGGGGACTTATTGGTGGCAGCTAATCATTAAAAACACACAAATAAAATGTCATGGACTGCAGATGCTGGAAGTCAGAGTCGATGAAATGTGGAGCTGGAGGAGCACAGCAGGTCAGACAGCATCACAGGGGCAGGAAAATCGATGTTTCGGGATCAGGATCCTGATGAAGGGTCCAGATTTTTAAAAAAAATGTAATTCTGATTTAATTGTGGGAAAGCTGTTTGTTGTTTGTGATAACATTTCTGAACATAGAAATAAAAGAGAAAACAAAAGAGTTGTCTCACTGTAGGACTATGTATAAATTGGGAAATAACGGAACAGTGTAAGATTTCTACATTTGCCATGAGTGATTTTAACCTGCATATTGACTGGACAAGGGTAACACAGAACATGAATTTGTAGAATACATCAGAGATTGTTTCTTAGAGCACAGTGTTGCAGAATGTACTTGCGAACATGTTATTTTACATCTCACAACGTGTAATGAGGTAGGATTAAGAAGAGATATTGTAGTTAAGGATTCTCTGGGAAGTGGACATCATAGCATGGTAGAAATTCAAATTAAGTTTGAGTGAGGGCAACTTGGGTCTCAAACCAGTGTCCTCGATTTAAATAAAAGCATATAAAGGGGTATTCAAGTAGAGGTATGAAGCAAGAGTTGTCTAAGTCGGCTGGGAAATAGACTACGAGAAGAGCCAGTGGGTGAGCAGTGGCAGACATTTAAGCAGGTATTTCATTCCGTTCTGCAGAAATTTATTTCAGTCAAAAAGCCGCCTTCAACAGGAAGGAGGAACCAGCTGGGGTTAACAAAGGTGGTCAAGGAGAGCATCCAATCAAAAATGAAGGCATGCAAAGTGACAAAAACTAACGGTAAGCTACAGAATTGGGATATTATTAACAGGGAAATGGTGGATAATGTAAACCAATATTTTGCAAGGGTCTTCATTCTGGAGGACACTATAAGCATCCCAATGATAACAGATATGCAATATGCTAATGGGAGCAAAGACCTAATAGCAGTCTCTACTGCAATGAACAAAGTTTCTGCAAATTAATGGGACTAAGGCCAATAAGTTGCCAGGACCTGATTATGTACATCCAAGGGTTTTAAAGTAAATGGCTGCAGAGATAATGGAGGCATTGGTTGTAATATTCCAGAATCCACTGGATTCCAGGAGGGTTCTCATGGATTGGAAAATTGCTAATGCGTTCAACCCTGTTCAAGAAGGGAGAGAGACAGAAAGCAGGAAACTATAGGCCAGTTAGCCTAACATCTATCATCGGGAAAATGCTACAGTCCATTATTAAGGAAGATATAGCAAGATATTTATAAAAGCTTAACACATTCAAACAGTGTCAACACTGTTTTGTGAAAGAGAAATCACGTTTGTATAATTTGTTAGAATTCTTTCAGAATATAACCAGCAGAGTTGATAAAGGGAAACTGGTAAATCTGGAGTATTTAGATTTTCAGAAAAAGTTAACAAGGTGCCACATAAATGGTTACTGCACAAGATAGCAGCTCATGGCATGTGGGTAATCATAGAATCCCTACAGTGTTGAAACAGGCCCTTCGGCCCAACAAGTCCACACCGACCCTCAGAACATCCCACCCAGACCCATCCCCCCAGAACACACCTAATCTACACATCCCTGAACACTACAGGCAACTTAGCATGGCCAATCCACCTAGCCTGCACATCTTTGGACTGTGGGAGGAAACCGGAGCACCCGGAGGAAACCCATGCAGACACGGGGAGGATGTGCAAACTCCACACAGACAGTCGCCCGAGGGTGGAATTGAACCCCGGTCCCTGGCGCTGTGAGGCAGCAGTGCTAACCACTGAGCCACTGTGCCACCCCATGCACAGTGCTAATTCCACTCTGGGACAAAGTTCCAGCTCTCAAAATTCAATAGTTCTAAAGCGGTAATGTATTAGCATAGATTCTGGATTGGTTAACAAAGACGACAGTCAGGATCAAGGGGTCTTTTTCAGATTGGAAAGACTTAACTAGTGGAATGCCACAAGAAATAGTCCTAGGGCCTCAATTATTATCAAGATTAATGATATGGAGGAGGGAGCCAAGAGACACCAAAAATGGCAGTACAGGGATCTGGGTGTTCTTGTGACTGAAACATAAAAGGTTAGCATGCACGTCCAGCTGGTAATTAAGAAGGAAGTGGATGTTTTGCCTTTATTGTGAGAGGGTTGGAGTATAAAAATAGGGAAATTTTGTTACGACTATACAGGGTGTTGGTGAGGCTGCGTCTGGAGTACCGTGTACAGTTTTGGTCCTTGAATCTAACAAAGGATGTACAGGTGTTGGAGACAGTTCAAAACAGATTCACTAGGCTGATTCCTGGGATGAAGGGGTTGGCTTCTCAAGTGTGAGTAAACAGGTTAGGCCTTTATTCATCACAGTTTAGAAGAATGAAGGGTGACCTTATTGAAACATATAAGATTTACAGGGTTGCCCCTGTGAACACTGTGAACAAACTTTGCTGTTGCTTTTGCTGTCAACTGATTGGGTTGCAAGTCCATGAAGTCATCTCAATAAATTCAAATGTATAGACTGGTAGCAGAAGTCAGGTGCGACACTTGGGTCTGTGATGTTACACCACCTCCTATGTGAAATAGGAAGCTTAAAAAACCTCACAAGACATACCTGCATCTCTATTGCGCTGAACTCAGGTGAAGAGATTTCAATCACCCGTTAGAGATGCAAAGTCCTTTAGCAGCCCCGCATGCTGGAAGGGTGAGGATGAGGTCAAGGGGCAGATGCAGCCAACATCACCCAGAAGACAGCCTGATTGTCAAGACAAATGGCGGCACATATTCAGGCTCTCGCTTTAGGACTATCAAATCTTGAGAGCTGGGACTTTGTCCCAGAGTGGAATGACCACTGTGCATGGTTTGCAAAACCATCTGAACCAGCCTCCACTGAAGGCACAGGT